CGCACTCTGCATGGTGGTCGCACCTATACGGAGCAGTCGCGACACAAGTGACGGAATGTCATTCTTGTGGGTTGGCCTCGCGCAAATTTTCTTTGCAAACAGATACGATTTGAAGCTTCGCACTACGCCGAAATACGCTTGACACAGGCGTAAAAGTTGTCGCAAACGGCTGTCCGTCATCATCAATCTCGCGTCATGGCAAAGAAACCGACTGTCCGTGTGTCAATCTTGAACTTTTACATTTCGCATAGCAAAGAAGCGGACGTGCCGCAATCACATCCCGAGTGACGTAGCCAGTTCGTGTCACAAGGGCGAAGTGTAACGTGAATATTGAATCGGTAATTAACATCATAGTTGGAGAGTATCCGCGCTGTCTCGGTTCCTGCTTCGAGTTAAGAAGACATCATACTTGAAAACCTTGTCGGCAAAATAATTTCTTTCTGCAAGGCTTGCGTCATTACTGGCTGCGCAGAATTATATAAATGCTTTTACAGAATGAAAATGCACGCGAATAAAAACGGAGCATTGCTCAATATGCAACGAAAACAATTAAACATTTTCAAATTGACATCTCTATATATGCTGTCAGTGTAAATATTTATCTAATAAATGGCTACCAAATGTGCCAATGCTCTAATTAAGAAAATTTTGAAGAACGTTCTTATATTCTTTCAATTAAATCTTGAGGCCTACAGACATATGGAAAATTTACAAGAAAATGTTTATATATTTTAGTTCGATTTTCCGTTAGATATATAATAAAACAGAGTAGCACAGCGTTCATCATGTTCACATTTATATCGCATTTACATTTACGTAAAATTTATATGTAAAAAATACAAAATGAGTCGTATGATTGTCACTGTTTATATGACATAACATTTTGAAGGTCATCTTTACGTTATTTTAGCTTATCATGTTCGTCGTCGACTTTGGCATCCCCTTAAACGTATATTCCACGCGGATATGCTTGAATTATTTTCAAATATTACTTCGTGAAGAACTGACCGTCCTCTGAAGTGTCGATACAGTTTTTAGAAACGTGTAAAGGTCAGGTAGAGGTGAAAAAAAAATCGAATCTGACTTGCTGTCACGATTTTCTTTATCGATTTTCTCAGAACACAATACGTATTTTTCGCTGCTGCAACCAGATGCAAATAATTCTCACGTTGAAGGACTCCAGTGGACATTGTATCCTATTTTTTTCTTTTTTTTTTTTTGTATGTTTTTAAAGTCCGGAATGCACTTGACATCAATACGCTGTTATCGACGACGATGACGATCGTTGACGCTCGCGAATCACGAGGACGATAAATCCTTGGTATCGTCCGGTCGCGCCTGTTGGAACCTATCGACATCATTTTTTCTGGCAACAATTTTTCACCCCGCTTGAAGCGTGCCATAAATTAAACGAGATGTGACGCGCAGACGAGGGTGTGTCATTTCATGGACGAATGCCCTCGTTCGATTAAAACACGAACTTGTATCAGCGGTGCTCAGACTGAATTCCAATTTTACTCTCTCTTTTACTACATACTTTTCTTACCAACAGGATAGAGAAAGCAAACTTGACATTATTCTACTATTTAACCGAAAATTGAGCATCTATCTAAGTGCTCAATACGTTGCGTGGAACGTTCGTTACTTTATCTCATTCGATCTGTTTTAACGATCTTCTCCACGAACAATGTTGCAAATTTTGCGACAAATACTAAGATTTATTTTTATTTCTAAACTTTATATTTATATTGACTTTGTAAGTTATAAACCAAAAAAAGATAGAACCTAATAGCCACGATTAGGCTCTTAAAAAGGCTCATTCTATTTTTTCATACTTTATTCATTTCACTTTTATTTGAAGGAAACTTATATAATGGCCTCTCATTTTGTTTTATCGGTCGTACTGATATCTATTTTTAGCGTAACGCCCATACTTTGTCACAAATTCCAGAATAGAGGAAATTGAGTTATTCTTGAAGAAAATTGATCAATGACAGGACTCGCAAAACCCCGTTCGATCGACTGGTGATATTTTCTTGCACTTTTCTTCGGAAATGCTCGATTTCATTCACCGGCATCCATAGATATTCTGAAACAAAGCGGACGCGTTTAACTCCGTCTGCCTACGTGCGAAGCGAATTTTCTACTCACGCTCGTCGGCATCAACTCATGCGACGACCCGATGACGTCAAATATATGAAGAGAGCTATGATGTCATCGTGTATTTTTAAAGAGTCGCGAAGTCCATTCTCCCGTCGCTTTGAAATTTTAGCATGCGCCTTCTTTTTTCAGCCGCCGCAACCGCCGCTTATAAATTACCGGCGGATGTCGTCGGCATTTGCTTTTGTTTCGCATGAATTTCGCGTGAAATTTCTGGTAGCGCAAAATTCTCGTAGTTAAATCGTCTGTTTGGAGAAATGTCTCACAGGAAATCCGCACGAGACGTACTTCACGTTTCCAAAAAAAACGAACGAACGTACCCCCGGACTTGAATCTTCGCAGAATATCGAGAATATCAAGTAAAAAGCTTCCGAAAAACTCGGTAGGAAATCATCATATCCCGTCATTGTGCCGTTATTTAAGCCGTCAGCGGCCCCGGGCGGTTTTCGAATCGAAACACGTCTATTTCCCGTGTATCCCTTTTCCCTGCTTTATACATCGTTAGCTGAAAACAAGCGCGGCCTTTGGGCGGAACTGGACTCGATGCGCGACGGAGGTAGATTATTAGTTCTGCCTTTCTAAATATTGACTGTAGCACCACGAGGAAATATCCCCTTTATGTTTCGCGCGATTCGGACGCGCGTAACGGTGCTACAGATATGCTGTAATTTATCGTGAGCCGCGCTCAAAACAACCGATAACTCAATAAAAGCGACACGTTCGTCGCATCTTCGCGCGCGCGCGGCTGAGCCATTGAATTGAATGACTGTACCGGATAAACATTTGCACAGTGGAAAATTTCGTGTTAAATTTAAGACACTTCATACACCTCAAACGGCCCACCCGCATTTTAATTTCTAGTAAAGTGAATGTGTAAAAGGAACGTAAATATGTTAAAAATTAACACAATAAATGTAATATTCTGACATTATTTGGAAGCAAATTTTATGGTAAACTGACATATTTATAATGCCAAATGTAACAAACGTTATTTCACGTTGAGAAAAAGATCGTTAACTTCGTTTTCATCGTGATATCGTGACAACTTTGCAGACGTTTGACTTATAAAATATCACCAATAATATTCAGTAAAATTAATATTCATAATATGTAAGTCAACACTGAAGTATAAAATGTGTAATTTTAACACTTACACGCGTGTTAAATTAAACGAATGTGTTAAAAATTGAGCATAAAACAACGATCGATTTTAATCACAAGTACGACATATTTTTATCATGTGTTTTGAACGAGTTCCTGCCCGCTCAGCTCTTCCTCCTGCTCTCGCTTACTTGCGTGCTAAGTGTCATCTTTCTTTTTCCGCTTAATTACTCGCGGCGTGTAAACTTTGCTTGATTACTTTACGGCGTGTAAACTTCTGTCGTAGTGTGAGTGCAAGACGACGGAAATGGAGACGTTCGGTTCAGAGAAGAGATACAAAGTCCTCACGTCGTGACAAAATGCGTATCGATTATGCGGCTCATATCGCACCGGGATATGCTCTTCGTTACGTAACGTAATGAGCAGCGAACAATGTAATGATAATGTAACAACAAGGTGTGCGTTACATGCAGATGATTCGCCGATTTCATCCGGCCGAAACTCTGCGACGCGCGCGATCGACGTTGAATAATGCATTCGCGTAATGCTTCTCGTGTTACACTTGCGTATACGCACTCATAACAAAATATACGTCGTGCTCGCTTACCTTTCGGTCGACGCGCTCGTTTTAATCAGCGACGTGACGGAATCTCGATTCGCGACACGTACGGCTTGAATGCGACAAGTGTTGCAAATGTAATTCGGACATGATGACAAATAGCTACATGTTGCGTCGAGTCATTTCGGTTGGTTACTATATAAGAAGAAAATGCTACGAAGAGCCTTCTCGGAGGTATCGAGCTTCCTCCTAATATCTCGCTTCGCCTAAACTTGAAAGAAATATACCTGAAAATCCAAGATTGCCCGAATCGAAATTTTTATGTTACACGATAAAACATTTTCAAATGTAACGCATAATACATGCCTCAAACGATCTACCCTTGTGTGTTTTTGTGTTAATTTAATATCGAGTGAATATGTTAAAAATTAATGTAAATATTATGTCAAAATATTAATATAAAGTCGTAACACTTGAACACTATTTGGAAACAAATTTTATGTTAAATTGGCATATTTATAATGTTAAATCTAACAAACGTTATTTTCGTACTGAAAAAAATTCACTTCTCCGTCACATTGTTTCTAGGATGTTATCAATGATTTTGCCTGAAATCTTAATTATATACTATTTAATTCAATTAATACTGTACTCGAAAAATATGTTTACCATTGTGGGATTTGATGGGATTCGAAGTCGGGAACTCTAACTGAAGTAAAGAGCACGAATAAACCATTTTGCTATTTTTAATATTAGCGTGTAACAATCACATTTAACGGTAATCCCTGTTAGTTATCAGCAGACCGTCTGTTCTTCCGAAGCGGGCGTCGTAACACGTCGTCCTATTGGTTGGCGACAGGTGCATTACGTAATCGCTGAAAGTTACGAGCGCTTTGACGAGTTTCGATGATCACGCGAGTGCAACGATACGAATCGTCATTGTTGCGTAAACACGCGCGAAAAAAATCTCGTGTGATCACGCACGAGCGAATGAGCGAGCAGGTGCGTGAATCATACGATGTGTCCTTCATTGTTACTCCGAGTTTCCTTCTCGCGCTCTCACGAGAAACGAGAAATTCATGTTTTGTTAATAAACTTGCGATCGCTTTATCGATCTGAAATGAATAAACCGTCGTCGAAGTGCGACTCACGAATGACGAGGACGCTTTCTCGTTTTCAGGTAAAACGTTCTGTCAATCCTGCAAGAAGAAGTGCAGCGGGGAGGTACTGCGCGTGCAAGACAAATACTTTCACATCGGATGCTTCAAGTGTGCCCAATGCAACACCAGTTTGGCCCAGGGTGGATTCTTCGCGCGCGAGGGCACCTATTACTGTACCAAGGTGAATTGTCGTCGACGTTACGAACCCATAAGTCAAAATAAGCCGTGCTAAAAGCCACGATTACTTCACAAATATTTTCAATTGTTTCAATTTAACTTTTTCACCGCATATTTCTGTAAAGTCGCTCCCACCGCATACGGGGTCATATTAACTCCGTTGCGATTTTCTCCAATCCATATCTGAGAAAAACTCTAAAAATATAGATATACAATATAATCGATGATTGTAATTACGCACAGTAAAACAGAAGCGTCACATTAATTGGAACACTGTTAACAGGTTAAATTTATAACAGTCCGTCATTTTGTTGCTCTGCTCGCAGGATTATCGGGAACGTTGGGGAACGCGATGCGCCGGATGCGGGGAGTACGTGGAGGGCGATGTTGTGACAGCCGGCGAGAAGTACACGTTTCATCCGAATTGTTTCCATTGCCAGAGATGCCGACAGCCGTTACTCGGACAAGGAACAAAAGTATCTCTAGTTCAAGGTATATATTCGAACATACCTAATAGAAATTGGACCTCGTGGGTGTCTAGTTACGTGGTTCGCAAATTTGTGTCTAACGTCGCTATTAGCCAATAATATAACGCCCATTTCTCGTAGTGGCTAGATAATAGCTAGATAGATAAATAAGTTAGTTGATGTAACAAAAGAAATTACAGTTACAAGATGAAAAATCATAATTAGTTATCAGGAAGTAATGTAATGCTCGCTTCTGCTTTTTTTAAGATTTTTATGGAATAACTCTCAATTTTGAATAGCCACCTCACTTTTATATGCTCTAGTGGCTGGTGTACAGTTAGATTATATATTTTAAAATGGATAGATAGCGTCATCTGCTCTCATATTTGAGATGTAATGTCTAGACAACGGCTAGATCGCAAAAATTCTATATTCCATATTTTATTCTATATTTACATAGATGTTATAGATAGATATATAGAGTCTATATTTATATAATTCTATATTTTAGCGAATAATCAGCCAATGACAAAACTAGCAACAAGCTACGTTAGCTACTAGCTTTTGGCTCAGAACAACCAGATACATTTTTGCTCTCGTTGCACTCTCGTTGCACTCGAAATGAAATATTTTATTGAGACTTGTCGCACACGTCGCCGCTGCGTCGAGCGTGCGACGTATGCAAAGTGAAAAACTTTCTAATTCGAATAGCCGGCAATTTCTACCAATTGTAGATAGCGATGCGTGCGGAGGTTGCGCAGCCAGCGTCTCAATACAATCTCGCTTTGATGCAGTTTTCGCAATTAGCGTCGCAGTCAATCTGTTAGAAGCAAATTGCCACTTAGGCATATCGTTATGCGTACGGTTACAAGGCCGTACGTTGTCACTAGGTACGTCCTTGTAACGATTACGCGGTCAAAGGTAAAAATCCGATGCAACGTGTACACACAGCTTTATCGTTACTGTGTCAATGCATTTTACTAGTTTTCATGAAATTACGGAGATAAGAATATCACGGTCGGTCGTTACCCACGCATTCTCTCGTGTTAAATTTCGCAATTTGAATTTCGAGTTTCAATCAAACGGCAAATAAATGCAACTTCCGGCCTTTATCGTGAGTCCCACTTGGGAAATATTATCCGCGAAAGCGACGATAAATTCCGCTCTTTTAATGCGGTCGACGCGCAAAGAAGACGCGGAGACGTTCACAAAGTGTATTTAAAGAGCATCGTAATTAGGACGCAGCGACTGTGTCAACTGGCGGCTATTAGCGCAACGGTAATTAGTCCAGTGTCGACGGAATTTGATCGGCGCGCGATCTTAAATTAATTCCCCCCGATGAACGAAAGGGCCGGAGATGAATGAAATTGGACGATAAATCTCGTTTCTCGGTGGAGGACAATCGCCACGCGGGCCGCGAAGGCTAATGACGACGCGGGATCCGCCTTGGGTGTCATCAATCTCAACTAATTGTGAACGTTGTTCGTAGGTCAGGCGCTTTGTCACCGATGCGTCGGTATACCGGTTCGCGAGGCCTCCACACCAATTGGTAACAGCGCCGGTACCAGAGGATCCGGCGATGGGCACACCGACCCTGGTGCCTGTGCCGGCTGCGGTAACCAATTGAGGGAAGGTCAGGCATTGGTCGCGCTCGATCGCCAATGGCACGTCTGGTGCTTCAAGTGTCACAGCTGTGATACTGTGCTCCACGGGGAATACATGGGAAAGTGAGTCAGCCACGTGATTTTTTCATGAGATACTTCTTTTTCTCCACTTCCCTCGAATTTCAACTAATTCATCTTATAAATCTGTCTTACTATTCTCCTCCAAATTTTAACCGATGTTTGAGCCATTGAAAATCCTTCTTGCGACAGGGACGGCGTGCCTTACTGCGAGAAGGATTACCAGAAGCAGTTCGGGGTGAAGTGTGCCTATTGCAACCGTTTCATCAGCGGTAAGGTTCTGCAGGCGGGCGACAACCACCATTTCCACCCGACCTGCGCGCGTTGCACAAAGTGCGGCGATCCGTTCGGCGACGGGGAAGAGATGTACTTGCAAGGCGCCGCGATCTGGCATCCACGCTGCGGCCCGGGACCGACCGGACCCAACGGCATCGTGAATGGACACGGGGACACTCCGCAACATCGAGAGTCGGAACGGATTTCCAGCAGCGCTTCGGAAATGCAGGTAAGTTGTCCGGTTGTGCCGCGGTCAATCGGCGATTTGCTGCCGTATTATCCTGTACATTCGTGTATCATATAATTGATTCAGGCTGTCTCAAGAGCTTATTTATTTGTTTTTTCTCAATTCTTCAAATCATATACAAACTGACGAGGTAGACTGATTGTAACATCTTGGTATGTAGTAGTGTATTCAAAGTAATCGTAAGCGTTCAATGTGTTTGACTTTTTCCCCAATTCAAAGACCACGAACTTTTCCTGCTTGTGCGCGGGAAAAACCTCAGTTCCTGTAACTGAATAGGTGAAAACTCGGTGACAAGAAGTAAAAAGTCTGTGACGAGAAATGATACCGTGATTACACCGTGATTGAGAACATTCGTGTAAATTCAGCTCGATCAAAGCTTGGTCGAAACAATTGAGAGTAATTGATTGACAAGGAGACGCAGCAAATCTAAACTTTGATTTGGATAAACTTTTGTACCATAAAAAGACATATGAATAACGGTATGTTTTATTTATGTCTTATTGTCCTTTAAAGGTGTGTGTTTTCGACCTCCAATTTTAAAAGCTGCTTCCCTTTTTTCACGTATAATTCTCAAACTGTAAGAAATAGAAAAGAATGTTTAGAGCGAAGGATGGTGAGTTGAGGCTAAAAAGTGACAATTAGAAGAGATTAAAGAAAAATTTTTCTAAAAAATTGTTCCTAAAATTTTTTATATTTCCGTTTATGTCACTTTGTAAATCTTAACTTATCATTAATTTTACATCCTAAATAAATTCTATCTCTTCCACAAAAGTTTATCCCAATCGAAAAGTTCGAGTTCGCGGTGTTTCCTTGAGTAGAAGCTTCCTATAGAAATCTGTTCTTATGACCGAGTTTTCGTTTAATTAGAACGGAAAATTCAGTTACACCAACGGAGTTGTTTTTCCCGTGTAATTTTTTATTTAATACCTCTCATTCCGAAAATGTCCGCTTAATCAGAAAGAGTGTACATTGAAAACTTATAAAATGGGATTCTTGATGAATTTGCGAGTGTATTCAACATCGTATGATTCAATAATTAGCATAATGTTCCCGTTTCCGATTTGTGATTCCGATTTTTTAACGTATCAGTGTTGCTAAGAACCGTACACGTGTTGGAAGATCAAGAAGTGCATGCTGCTATTTAGGTCTATTAGCTCGCATTATTTAGCTGCATTGTACACTATTAGTTGTATTTGTCTGCATAATTATACGTATCGGTTACGATACGTGAGAGAGAGAGAGAGAGAGAGAGAGGGAGAGGGGCGAAGTGTTCCGCGCGCACTCGAAATTTTCGGACACTCGAGAAGTGTCGGACGCTTGTAAAAAAACTCAATTACAGTTTACGTTCCCGCAAATCTCGCTGCAAACAACTCTCTTGCGGAGCACTTCGTCCTGCAACACACTTGTATGTAACTGTTGGTAACTTGTATGTAACAACTCTATGTATAGCGGCAGTATAGAGTAGGACGCCTTCGATTTGGAAGACACTGTTTTCATTAGCTTTGTGTATAGCTTGATTTTCGCCTCGGTGATCTTGACTGGCTTTCCTTCTTTATCGTTCTCGTCTTTCACGCACGCTTCGACGAATATGAAACGAAGCGAGACATCAGATAATTATATTATCGTTATTTGATTTGATTAAGTTGTTTTTTATTACGCTTCTTTTAATCATTGTTTACCTTTTTTTCGCACGATCATTTTGTATAGTTTTCATTGCGGTCACGCACGCCAAGCCTGAACGGATCGCTGTGCAGCCCTTACAGCAGCCTCAGTCGCAAGGTATGCCATGTGTCACTTAGCACAGCACTCTCGACGAGTATTTCTGGTATCACTTTCCACAGTGGTATCGCCTCCTCCTCTCAGCATCGCGTGCTTTCGCTCTGTCAGACGCTCGCGATCCGATTTCAACTTCATTGATTCGTCGGAAACGCAAATTGGCGTTATATAAGCAAACCTGTCGACGGGTTGTACAAATTCGCACACACGTTAGAGTTTATATGAAATATACATCTGAAATTCAGCGTGAGACGATAATTTTTGTGAAATTTAATCGCAAGTTAATTGGTTGCGTCTCTCGTCAGAGCGTTACTCGCCATGCACGATTTTCTTTTCTGCAGGCGTGCGGAAAATTCGGATGGAAATTTATAGTGCTGACTTATAGTACTAATTGTAGAGTGGGAAATGAAATTCTCTCTAGCGAAATATTCGGATTTTTTGTGCGCCTTCATATATATCTGACATTAATATTCAGATTGCATAAGAATCAATTGCTGTGCCACACGCGTGATAAGATACATTGGTTGCCTCAGTATTATCCAGCGCGAACTGGCAGTCCTGGCCTGATCCTGAGAGAGTATGGACGAGGGGCGCCGGAAGATGTGTCTAGGATTTATACTTACTCATACCTGACTGAAACGCCCAGTCAGGGATATTTGAGACGCCCGATACAGCCGTACGATAAACCCCCAACTAGCCCGCATTTTCATAGACCTAGTTGTGAGTTTTCCACGCATTTATAACACTATTAGAATCCTAGAACTATGGAAGCAATCTCGAATATACATATGCGTTCACTTAACACTTTGAAGACGGATTTTTTTTTCTTCATTGGGTAACAAATATACATTTCTTTTTTTACCTGCTTGGAGTATCGATATATCTGAGCTACGGTGTGAGCAAAAGTTCAATTTAAGAGCGCATTCTGTTTCTACTCGTTCAGCATCTCGTTCGATAAGAAGCAGCGGCGGACGCAGCAGCAGATCGGGAATGAGGGCTTTAGTCGATGCTCTGAGCGACACCAGACCGAAATCACCCGCCAGTCAGGTTGATAACGACGAACCAATCGAATTAGCGCATTATCCAGACGCAATGAAACCACCGCCCGGAGCGCAGCCGCCGATCGAGAGAGATGATTTTCCTGCTCCACCGTATCCTTACACTGATCCCGAGAGACGTAGACGATGGTCCGACACTTACAAGGTAACCTCATAATTTCGTTTCCGGACTAGACTATTCGGAACAAAAAAGTCTCGCCATTCTACAAATAACACGCAAATTGTTGAGTTAATTAAAGAAGTCTCTATACATGGCCATTTTCAATCATTGATAACTCGAAATGCTGCCTTGTTATTTGCAAAATGCTATAGGACTTTTCTGCTGTTTCACCCGCCATTCTACTTGCACGCCACGGGAATCGAGATTAGTTTGGGACACCCTGTATAACGACGCATTATTATTGATTATATAGCGTTACTAACGAGATTCTATTATACTAACGTATACTAACGAGATACTATTTCTCGCTCAGGGGGTACCTGCATCTGACGACGAGGATGAAGTGGACAACAAAACGTATATCAAGGAGGCGGAGCAGAAGTTAAAGAAGGAGCAGGACGAATTGAGCAAGATCGACACGGGAATAGCTAAGGTATTCCTGCAAGATCGCGAGAAGGATCGAGAGAATTTACGACACAAAGCTGCGAACGTGGATCCTAGGAACGCCTCAAGGACACCGTCCGCCGCCAGGGAACCTACGTATAGACTACGTTACGAGAGTCCTGTTGGCGCATGTAAGTTACATTTACTATAAGTATTACTATAAATTATGAATTTTACATCACTGTATTCTCAAAACAAAACAGCTAACAACTTTGAAGTTGTGTATAACGTCTGCATATTATTTTTTTAATATTGTAGTAGTTTTCCATCAAAATCTTGTTTTTAGCTTAAAAGATATTAATCATTAAATTAAGAAATTAAGGAATCAAAAGTAGCACGCTAACCTCAAGAAACATGTATGAAAAGTGTCAACTTCAGTTGCAAATATCTTAGTCCGGTCTTTCTCTGCTTGCACGAGCAGTAAAATAATATTTCATTGTTTACGTAGCGCAAGTTTCAGTGAATTTTTATCAAACCTCACCTCACAATACAACTTTCTTAACTACGAACGCGATAGACTACGATACAAGTATTTTCTACGGACGAATAATCCGTCGTCCGTTGTTGCGCAGCACCTTCGCGAAATATCGATCACGCACGACCTTGGGAAGATGACGACGGCTTCAGCTACCGATCCAGCGGGCCTAGCTACAACGGTGAGTGTCTATCCGCTATGCAAACGTATTACTCGTAATTGTCTCATTAACATAAATAACGATCATCTCATACATGTCCACACGTTCGCACATGACACTAACATATACCACTCTTTGAAGTAACATCGATTAGAGAACACTGTGAGAGTCTCTCGATAGAGCGGGGTTTCCCAGGGCGGGAGGTCGTAAATGGTCCCGTTTTTGCCGCTAAAAACATTTGCTTCGTGGAGCACGACGTCGTTGCGAATGCAAATTTTGTGTGACGTGGGAGGGGTTCACGCTAATTATTAACAGTTGATAACGATGATATGTAACCTCGAGTAAAAAGTACGTAATACTCGAGGGAGAGAGAGAGAGAGAGAGAGAGAGAGAGAGAGAGAGCAGAACTTTGTTTTAAGTGGCAATATAGCACCAAATACCCAAACACCGGGGACGCCCATTAATCTAACAGGTGATGTATTTCTGCCTATGCATGCGTTATATCTCGTCCCTAACTTCGATGTGCTTGTCTTCATTTGTTATTTTCATTCGTCGAGCGACACGGGTGGCGCGTGTCGTCAACCGATACATCTTCTCCGAAAAAAAAAAAAGAAAAATAACATTAAACCGCCATTGCAATCTTTAGCCCTGGAAATCGTGTCCCGAGGTAACTGATTCTGCCCTTAATAAGTAACTATTGCATGGCACTTGTGGGACTATTGAAGTTCATCATCACACGAACACACATTGCCCTGATGCACATCACTCTCATTATCGCAGCACGATCATAGAGCCCGTACGTCGGAGTTTTCAGTGTGGTCGTAAAATCGACTTACTGTCGTCGTTTATCGTCGTTCTCGGTAAGGATCTAATCACTGTCGATATTCATTCTGAGTTCGGGAGAAATGAACGCAACGTTCACGCATAAAATACAATAATCCATCTACGCGTAAATAATGTAAACGTAAACTATGTATAATATGTTTCATATATATATAGACAATAATAATCTATGGATAAATAATCTATGGAATAGCTTATCTTTTTTTTTCATTTCGTAAGTCTCATCTTTATATTTTGTTTCTGTTGAAAGCTTACAGGTAAACCTGAATGATAATATTTGTATATTAACAGTATTAACAATATTTATCTTTTATATCATTATACAGATATTTTAAATATGTTTAACTTTTGCACTCTCATTCAGAATCATCCTGTATAAATACGTATATTATAATAATCACGAACAAAGGAATACTCCTTTTTTCCGTTCAAAAGCTCACAGGTGAATTTAAATGATTGACATTTCTTTATTGCCCACGTGTATATATCAATCTTTTCAATCTTTAGTATTAAATATTAATTATTTTTCAATCTTTAGTATTAAATATCTTTGCAATTAATACGAAAATTGGTGAACTATTTTATAATTTCAATTAATTTCGACTAATAATTTATCCTTTCTCTTTGCATTATGCTGTGTAATTTGCAATATTTTACATAGTTTACATTATTTACATGATAAAAGTCCGTATGAACGTCACGTGGACGATACGTAAATTATCCATGCAGACGTAATCTTAAAATCTATGGCACAACTCTGAGCGAACGTTCAGTCGGAATTAACACAGAATATACGAGAATATAGGTTTCTCTCACACACAGATTTCGATTGATCCGGCGTTCCATTACATTTTTATTTGCGACATTGCTTTGCGCGATGAGAAAACTGGATTTCGCCCGTTTATTATCTTTGCCGCTCACTTTACAAGTGACTATGTACAGGTGGACAACGATAACTGAAAGCACATGTCTCTTGATTGACTCGATTCTGAAAGTCGACGAATTGAATTACCGATGAAAGGGGACTATTTTCCCGCTAATGTTCATTAGAAACTGTTAATTATGAAACATTTTTAGCGACAAGTCTTACAATGTTGGAAGATAATTCGGCGTCACGTTCGTTTTGTTGTTTATCGCTACGGCGCATGATATAGTTATTTCTTTCTGCACCGCACACTTCTGCTTGTTTCTCTCGACAGATACATCAAATTCTGCTTCACAGTATCTTCCAATGTTGGGTCATCGGTTAACTCTGGCACGCTAACGTCGGATATTCGCCAATTAGTGCGGTTTCACGTAATACCGGGAAGATATTACACAATCCAGAAACCAGAGAAAAACGATTAAAATTGCTATCGATCAAACATGATGTACCCTCGCTTAATTGAATCGCTGTCGCAAATTACTGTCTTAAATTGACATCGCAAAATTGACGTCGCATGTTGGTCGACGGCAAACCGACGTCTGCTGATTATATTATAACTTTCGGGGCTATCACGTGCTACCAGTAATTATCGACGTAATAAGAAAAAGAAGAGAAAGAAAAAAAGATTTGATCGCATCTCTCACGATAAATTAAAAATAAACGCCTCACGGTGCAAAATCACGATGTCGATGACCGCCGAGTTAGCGTGCCGGATTAACGGTATATTACGCGAACCTACGTCAGTCACGACGGCTACTACCTTCGTCGTCTACTATCATCGTGTCTCTATTTGTGTTTTTGTGTTTGTGTTGTGTTTGCGTGGGCGGCAGTTGGGAGGTCATCGGCGCGCTCCCCGGCTCCCAGAAACTATCCACCCCTTGGTACTCAGCGCGCCTTCACTCTTCCAAACGCCACTAGGCACTATCATTCGGTGAGTCCGAGAACTTTCCAATTCGCCCGCCGTTGGTCCCAAGTCAAACCGAATCCGCTTGTACGTGTCGTAACACGGGGATGTTCCCTGATTTCTGTCACTTGAATTGTCTCGTGCGTATCATCTGTCGGAGTGTTCACTTCACTTGTTATTTCATCGTCTCATCTCGCGGGAAGCAGAAGTCGCGATACTGCTGCTACATAAATCGCGCACGTTCCTCTGTGAGCACGTGTAAAATAGGCATGCGAATGACACACTCTCAATGATGAAACGTTAAATAGAACAACGATTGTTCGATGTTCGTTTCTCGACGTTAGGACGGTCGTCTTGAGAACAATATAGTACACTAAAAGCAAAAACAGTTAAAAGATAAAAAATATTTATGCAACAGATACTAATAATATTCATTTAAATTTAAGTTCCTTTGTTCAAATAGAATAAACAGCTTGAAAGATTTAAGGAAATATATATTTTTTTATTTGTGAAAAACTTTTCTCAGTATAAAAATATGTTTGTTGGTATAGATAAATATGTTTTAGTCTTCTTTTTCTTGTGTTGTATATTTTAATATCTACCGAATAAATATTTTTTATTTTCTTAGATATATTTGTTCTCTCAGTGTATACAGCGTGAGAGGCAATAATTATTGCCACCTTGAATATATTTGAAGTGTGAAAGTAGCAGAAAAATTTATCGACAGAAAACATATTGACACCATTACTCCGAACATTTTCTGCAAGTGTAAACTTCTTTCATCTTCATCTAATCGCTAATAAAATATTTTCATTTCTTGAAAATGTTCTCAAGGTGGTAATAATTATTGTCTCACTCTGTACAAGAAAATTAACCCTTCATGTTGGCACATTTATTTTTTGCTGCTTAGTTTAGCACATTGGATCTTTGAAATCTAGTAACTTTCTTAACATGCTCTTTAAATATCTATAAATGTATTTATTATATATATATATACTATGGTTTTGAGTGTACAAAAGATAAATTTGAAAAATTTATTGCAATTATTATTTTTTTAAATAGATAAGAATAGTAAGAGGTTAAAATAGATAATAACGACAGAAGAATATGTATTGATTTTACACAGAAAGAAGAAGAAATGTATCTCTTAAAAAAAGAATTATATCTTTATATGTGAAATAATACAAGATTTAACAACCATAGAAATCTTATTATTTTATTTATTCTTATTTTATTATCGTAATTTATCATCTCAATTAGTCTTACCTTATTACGAACTTTTAAATCATACTATAAAAAGAATCCACTAAAAGTAAGTATTACTTTCTGCTCAAATGGCCTTAATTATTCTCAGAATTTGACAAAAAATGTCACTTTTGGTCACTATTTTGATGTTTAAGAGGTTACTTTTTGACGCCTATTTTGCTAAGAAACAGTTACTTCATTTCGTTTTTTGTGACCGGTGACTGGATGGCAGCTATGTTATCCAAATTTATTATATTATTTTAATATCTTAATTTCTCGCTTATGTCAAACCCATGAGTGCAAACTAGGGTTAATATTCTTTTTATATATATTTCTCTCAAGTCGAAGTATGAATAATTTAAATGTATTAATGTATTAAAAATGAATGTGTAATAAATATAATTTCTGAGGTGTGCACTCCATGTATATCAAAACCATAAATTATATCATATATGTGTGTGTGTTGTAGATATATATTACAATTTCCCGTTGCAATATTCTGTTCTGACAGATGTATTTAAGAAATATTTTTCATGCACAATTTGTGTGATATCTACTGTGATTTTCGATAACGCGTTTGCTCCACAGAAGGGGAAGTTTTTGACTTGTCATCACGGCGGGCGCGCTCAATTAGTTTAACGAGAAGAACATGTTGCACTTACACGGGTGCTGGCTTTCTACGTACCCTCTTTTTTTTTGTTTTTTTTGTTTTTTTTTCTTTTTTTTTTTCTTTTAGTCGTAAATTGCCTCGCATACTGTTTTACGAGAATCAATGCTTCATTAATGCACTCGAAACTGTCGGGTACTTTTGAGCGCCGTTTGCCGATGGGGGTGCGATAATTTATCCGAAATGGCTGCCAACGCAGATATCCTTTCTCACACGCGATATTAGTAACGTGCAATTACTATAATAATTGAGCATTGCATAATCAATTATTTTAGAATCCCTTTATTTACCAAAGAAGATATATACTTATTTTGCAAGGTATTACAAGATACAATTAATGATAATATAATAAGATACAAAAGACCGGTATAATACTCCGTAATTGATGATGGTATTAGAAAAATATCGGTCATTCAGAAATTAATTTCAGAAGAATAAGTTTTTCTTTTATGAAAGTTTCTTATTTACACACGAAGAAAAAATGTTGGTTGAATTTACCCAACACTGAATGAGCCAATCACGTTTTGGCTGAAGGAAATAGAATTTCTGGTTAGTCTCTTCTTTCCGAGTTGAAATTTTGATGCTACTTAAGGATAGATGACCTATGGACTAACAGATTATTAGAGTATTTAGGTAACCTATAGATTAATAAAAACTTGTCTTGACGACACTAATATTTATTAACTTTTGTCTCGGATCTTTAATTTTACAGATTTCATTTTAATACTATCTTCAACAATCTATCTTGACACTAAAAAAGCGAAAATTATATTATTAAAATTAAAATTTAACCTATTTTGCTACCTTAGCTGCTACTATGTTGTAGAATTTAACATAAGATCAAAATTTCGACTCGGGTTATGAACCAAATTCGCTTCTTATAGCTAAAAATTATATTCCCTTTAACCAAGATTAACCAACCGGCGGATTTTGTTTATTCATTGTTGGGTCAGTTCAAATAAACTTCTTTCTTCCGTGCAATATCTTAATATCTAATTTCCAAAGGGTACCGCTTAATGGAGAGAAGGACTAGCTCCGCGTTTGATTAAACAATGGATAATTACACTATTATTTTCTTCGGCCATTTGTAAGCGAACGAATGAGTCAAATTTATATGGCGACGTCTTGTTAACAGAGCGAGTACATCGCGTGTGCCAATGGATATCTGTCTTTTCAAACCGATCCGAGTATTCTTAACGGGAAAACATTGGAAAAATAAAAGAAGAAAAAAAGTGTCAAAAATATCGTCATTATCGGGACGCAACTGGAGATTAGGGGGAAATCCCACGACAGTGGTTGACTTTTGTCGGTGACACGTCAGGGAGCGGCATGGCTCCGAGTAAAGTTCACGAGACGCCTAAAAGAGAATCTGGCAAGCGAACGTTGGGCATTCGTATGGGATTGAGCGAATTGAATTACCGCCGAGAGACTAATCAGTAATATCTATATATATATATATCGATTGACTGATTTGAAACCAGTTGTGAGCTCTCTTCGGCACATCCCGAAGCCGGGGTACGGTCTGGCACCGCGAAGTCACACCTTCTCCTCGACCGGCGGTTCCGTGTCTGCTCTCCCTGTAAGTCTTGCACCGCGTCACAGTCGACGAGGCGATGTGCACCACGCTGATAGTGCAATTACATTAAATATATACGTACATATATATACATACATACATATATACATACATACAATATATATATATATATATATATATATATATATGTATGTGTGTACGTATGTGTGTATGTATGTGTAAAGTGAGAGAAAAAGAGAGAATGAGAGAAAGTACATAATCGAGCCGAGCGGCCGAGCGCATCAGCCTTTCTAAGATAACGCTTTTCTGTCGTCTAGGGCGACTATTCGTTCAGTGGGATGGGCGACAAGACGCACAGCACTGATTTCTCGTCTGGCAAATCGGACAGTGAGTAAAACGAGAGGGACCGGTCCCCGCTGCACACACGCGGCCCTCTCTCACACACCTCGCTCTCTCAACGTTCACACCATGCTTCTCAGGAGCTTGATGCCCTCGCGAAATTGTCCCGTTGCGCTAGAGGGGCGGTAGTGACCCGCTACCGGGTTGAATTCAACGAGAGCTTCTTTCCACTTGTTTCTCTCTTGGTTCTTTTAATTTTATTCAATATATATATATATATATCTCGCTTTCTCCCGGTGAAAATAATATCTCGATGGGGAAATCCGCTCGCAAGATTAACCAATCAATACGATTTCGATCGATCTGTTTGCACTTTGAGAGCTTTAAGAGAGCATTCTCATTTGGAACGTTTCGTTTGATAAGTGATTTTTAGGAATCCTTAGAAAAGAAAAAAAACTGAAACACAGTTTTGAAGTTACGTGCGTGAATATTTATTTATGTTTCAACTGCGCACAGTAATTTCTACGCGTTATTATCTTGAATATTGATAAAATTATATATAATTTTTTTAGCGCTGAACGCGAAAAGTTAATTGTCACAATTCCAGGCGTTGTAGACTTTTGAAACCAAAAATAACGAAACGATAAACTTGTGGCTATCGTCCCTACCACGATGAAGTCAATATTTTTATTATTTCGACTTTATGAGGACTTCCAAAGCTGGAAAAATTGGCCAAAGGTCGATTTTTCCTTTTTAAGTCGTGGTATTTTGTTAAAAATCAATTTTTATTTTCCATGGTAGAGATGATGTAGAGGATAGCAACCTTGCAAGCAAAACTTTCGTTGACGACACAGCACCAAATTATTTATAACTTTATTAATATTGAAGATAATAATACGTTTAAATTATCGCATATAGTTAAAACATAGATAAATATTTGTACAAAGTTTCAGAATTGTATGTTTCATTCAAAAACATGTTTTAAAGTCACCTACAAAATTATGTTTCAAATGAGCATACCCCTTTAACTGGGCAATATGATCTTGGTTAATCCGTTTGCGTTTTAAGAGTTCAAGTTGAAAGTCTTGAATTATCGATTGCTTGTAACTAAAAAAATTACTAATGCTTTGACAGCTTTTTCTCAATGAAATTTCAATCGTTTACATTTCAAGGGAAACGCGCAACTTTCGAAACGTCACGTTTATTAAATCGTTTATTGCAAACATTAAAACTACAGAATGGACAACATAATCTTTCCTCCGCAATTAATTTGGAATTAAAATTGCTAATTACGATATGCTACTTATTCTCACGAAATCTCGTAACACTGAATATATGTTGTTTCCAGGAAAATAAAATAGATTGTCAGGCATAGTTCACGATAGCACAGTCGGCGACTTTTGCGAGCGCATCGCTGCGATGTCATGATTTTTTCTTTAAGCCACTTTTCGTTTTGCCTTGCTCCTCAATGCATGCTTTACTACTAATATCTTTGCGAATCTATCGCACAGTCACAGTTGTGAAACGTTCTTCGTATGTTGGCCTGTCGTAAGTCGCGTCATACGATCTTATCCACGTTCAAGATCTGTGAGGCATTATTTGGTTTATTAACCACGAAACTGTTAATCACCTACAGTTTTAACAACAGTTTCCTCTCTTGTAACGAGTGAATAATCGTGCTGAATTTCTGAGAGGACGCGTGGTTCCATCTCTCAATTCGGGCAATGCCAAATATAGCGCTACAAATGAAAAGACGATGATGCTCACAATTACATTTTGTATTCGGTACATCTTGAACTTAAAAAGGAACTATGATTATCAAATTTCGAAGCTTACAAATTCTTCAGCTAAATTCCCCGATGGGAACGATATGGTATACACAACACTTTCACAGACTAAAACTTCATAGAATGAAATTCTTTGGCCGCACCGGTTCTCGAGGAACTTAGAGACGATTCTTTGACACAAATTTCACAAGCCAGGACATTTTTAAGTAGTACTTACTCTATCGAGAATCATCGTAGAACCAATCGTGTTCCTGCGTTATCTGGTCTACTTTATCGTCGAATGACCGGCACATTCGCGCATTTCTTCGCGCAACTTCACGTAAAGCGCGAGGTGTGAGCGGCAGGTAACGAGAGGGGAACACGATTGGTATATAACGACAGATTGTACTTAACGTAGGAAATGGTTTGTGCAATATGGTTTGACATGGTTTTTCTTTCACGTTTTCCCCAATTTTAGTATCAACAGGCAGCATCACGGATGTGGATCGGCGGGCACTGGTATGTACCACAGCCCCATACTACTCCCGGCGAATTAGCATGGTTTGTAGCTTGTTCTTGCATCTCTCTGTACGCCAATGGAAACTTCGTTTGTCGGGACGACAATTCAAGCACGCTTCCTCTCAAAACTGTTTACCCGAGGAGTAGGGATCTGCGTTCGGAAACGCTACACTGAGGATAGAATGGACATTTAATAGACCAATTAGGACAAAAAGAACTAAGATCTTCTTTATTACAGTCAATTAAATGCCCATTCTATTCTCAGTGTGTATTCCCGAACGCAGCCTTGCGTAATTCGAGACACTTGTTGAAGGACGGATTGATTTTCTCCGTAAAGTCCGTAAAATCTAATCAAAAGAACTTAATGCAATTGTCCCGACAGGTGGGGTTTGCAAATGTAATTTTATTTAACATTTGGAACACGTCTCTGCAATTACAGATGTGCGATGTCGCGTTTACGCGCACGCACTCGACTAGAGAAACGTGATGATACGATTGACAGTGCGTTTGAAATTCATGACGTATATATATTTATATATATATATGTATGATTATACACAATTTATATGGTGCTTGTTTATATTGCAATGTAAGATATTGTACATACAATATATACTATATATAATGAGTATGCATGAATGCTGTACATTTTGCTATGATTTTCAGTTTTGCACTTTTGATTATTTTCACTCGATGAATTTGCTCGATGTTGCATATTTGATTTGATCAGAAAGGCTTACTTTCTCTACCTTTTAATTAAGTTAAGTCGATCGACCGATCGAGTAATTATTGTCTTATCTAGTCTTCGTTACTTGGCTTCGTCCGCCAAAATATATATATTTTTTTTTTCTTATATTTTAATATTGCATAATTTATTTTACATTCAGGACAATTTAATTGCCCTTGAGAAATGATGCTTTATATTTAGTGTTCAAATCACTCGCGTTTAAATTAATTTGTAACGTACACATAAATTTTTTCCTTAATAAGAAACTATTTTCCAACTGCAAAAAGTGCATGTATGTAACATATTCGTGCCAAAAGGATCATAGTGCAAAAAAGTTGATAATAAAAAATATTAATTAAGAAAGATAGCAGCATTGTTTGCGGAAACTTCATAAACAAAATTACATAACTATTGAGAAAAAGTTCGCACGTGGAATGATCGCTTTACTTTTATATATCTCGAGTTTTTTAATATTTGAAAATATTAAAAAAATATATATTAAATATTCTAAGTATACTGAAAAATGTTTCAATATATTAGTTTCCGTGATTCATTTTCGCAAATGAAAACTAACCGATATTGATAAAGAGCTGTTGTTCATTCAGGCACTCTATTGAGTCATACGAATGCAATCGCATTCATTTGTACACATTTGTATATATATAGAAAAGGCTAATTTATTAATTATACTAATTTATTATTACGCAATAAGGATACGAACATTTTCGTAGAATGAGAAAGATGTATTTTCATGAGCGCCGGCAAGATTAGCTATAAAAGAAATTTAATTGCTAACAAAAATGTTCTCATTGAAACGCAACGATTATTTATTATTACTTCATTTCAATTCTCCCTTATTCTAAGAATTTATTCTAAGAGCCCCGACACAATAGATTAAAAACTGGTCTCTTAAAATGAGCACACTATACTCAGCTACCACTTGCTCGGTTTTCGTCCTGCGCAACGTCTCAGAAAATGCCTATTGTCTCAAGATCATATTATTTCTCAGAACCGCTTTTGGAGTTAATTCTACACATGTAGGATTGGAAAAAAACGCAATAACAAAAAATCGATTTTTTGACCTCTTCAATGGGAAAGACCCTTTATAAGAATTCAACGAATGCAGAATGCAAGATCACTCTCTTTCACTTCTCTCGCGGCGCTCATGTTGCTGTCTCTTACTATTTTTTCGCTTTTATTTCCATCGGTGAGACTTACGAATCTGTGTGATCGTGATTTAGAATGATGGTGGGATCCTCCCATCATCCACCACATATACAGGTGGCCTAGGTTCGGTTGTTGGAGGCCACGGAGGTCATCACGTGAGGAGATCGCTGCCGGATATGGGTGCTGCACCGACCGAACCGCCCAAACTTTATCCCTACCATTTACTTGTTATCACCAACTACAGGCTGCCAGCTGACGTGGATCGTTGCAATCTCGAGGTGAATATAGCGGCTCTATCATTCCTCATTGTAAAATTATTAATATTTTATTCATATATCAGTTGAGCTAATAGAGGTGCACACATAATAGAAAGTAATATATATATATATCGCGGATATTATTATACATTGTAAATTTTCTATGACTTATCTTCGAAACAAAATAGTCAAAAATTCTGAAATTTTTATATAACGTCTATTATAATTCTTAATATCACGGTAGCTTTTCACCCTAAATCTAGTTTTGAAGAAATTAAAATAAACATTAAAAGTAGGTTTTAGCCTCAATGAACACGTATAAAAAGGGTCGTCTTCAGTTCAGTCTTCAATATCTCAGAAATCCCGAATGGTCAATCGTTTTTTAAGTTTACAGATATGTAAATAGTATTTCCATCAATATGCACTAACTAAAATTGAAAAGGATTCCTAAAAAAGTGATTGACAGATCAACTATCTTAAGATAATTGATCCGTTATAATTGATCGCTCATTGTTCCTTATCTTTTTTTCCAGCGGCATCTCTCCGATGCGGAATTCGAGATGGTCCTCCAGTGCTCCCGCGCGGAATTCTACAGACTGCCACAGTGGCGCCGCAATGAAATCAAAAGACGTGCCCGGCTGTTTTAACTCATGCTTTACACACATTTTACTTATTATACATCGCCTCGTGTCACGATTATGTTACTGTAGTACAGACTGTACATTCCTACTGCGTGGTAGATGCATCGTGGAGAAAAAAAATGTGTTCGACAACAGTTACTGGAACCATACTTATCTATAGACAATGTACTAGACGCTAATTAATAGTTTCGCAAATTAAAAGGACTTCCCCTCGGAGAGAAATGGTATCATTACAGAGAATAATGATAAATTTCGTAATTTTGCCGACACATACGAAATATACACTGGAAACGTATGAACTAAAGTCATTAACGAGAATTCATATCTGTAAATGTTTGCATATGTATTATTGTTATTTTTTATTGCGGATCTTTACATATTATTTATTTAACATATAAAGTGAAAAATGTTAACTTATGCCTGTAATGACATACTGATTCTGTAAAAAAATTGAGCGATGAAAGTAGAAAGAATGATTTACAAATATTTCATACGCACAACTAGACAATTGTATGTGTATGTATAAGATACTTATCAATTAATATTTTACTTGTTTTGTACTGTAACTCGGTTTGTCCTTAAATTTATGTACCGGGAGTCGCAAAAGTGTTGCGCCTAGAACGTCGAAATGAGATAAGTACGGTTCTGATTATTACGACCATTTACTATTATCGGCGTACGCTCGGTGGTGGAGATGCGAGATCGATGTCCTTTAAGCGAGAGCACAATATACAACACACACACACACACGAACACACACGCACATATATACACAAACACATAGTCATGTACACACATCTTAATGACACAGAAGCACTGCCACTTTGTCGTCAATTTTTTTCTCGCAGCAACGAATCCACAGGCAGCTTTATCTACGATGATCCGATCTGTTTAGCGACGTAGACGTTTTCGAGTTTTACCATTCGGAGCGCTATCGTGACTTGATTTCATTCTCAAACACGTTGACGAGTGCGCAATGACTGGTCGATATTAACGTAGAGAGGATAATCAAATAGAAGAGGGGGAAAAAGAAGTAGCGATTATAAAAAAAAACTCTTGATACAACTCACTATTGTAAATATCGAAGTTCATCGAGAGGTCGAAGGGCGGCGCGGGAAAGCAGCTAGGAAGTTTCAAAGTACATAATCGCGTATTCGCTAAATCGCATATATATATATATATATATATATATGTGTGTGTTATATATATATATACATACATATTACCTTGCGGACGATTATGACGCGAGGAACGCTACTAAATAGGGTCTATCATTATTATTAATTTTTAACTATTATATTATTATTATTATTATTATATTTTACTACATGAAAAAAATTAAAAATCTAAGTAGGCGAAGAAGTTCAGCTTGTTGAATGGTGCGAGTACGCTGACTAATCGGACAATTTGCGCGTGATTGATCACATTTTAACTTTACTCTCTGTGTCAAGAATTATTTTATTAGAATAGCTTGCACAGTATCCTTGTGAGAGAAATTTTTACCCTTTTAATTACCCCCTTGATGTATTAACGAAAAAAATGCGTTCTGCGGATGCGGACTGCGATAGACTTCTTCTACAATCGCTCGATCGCTCTATGTTAGAGTATAAATAAGGAAAAAAAAATCAGGACCAAATTTATAGTCGTGGTGGATCCAACAGTCGAAACCATCAAGGGCCTTATCACGTTAACACGAAACGTATATTTCATTACGTTTCACGAATGTATGGATTTTTTGCTATTCGTCGTTGGCCAAATTTTGAAAAATCAATTTTCACGGGGTATCTCTGATTCGCCATTTTGAGGTATGCGATTTTGGAAATGTGGCATAAGTCAAGTTTTGAAAATTTCATAATAGACACGCACATCGCGCAATGTGTGAATTCATCCATCTGAGAAACGCCATGCGATTTTCTGATGAAGATTTTTACGAAGAAGACTGTCGTTGCTCTCTTCGTAAGGAGAAACGTAAAACTTGAAATGTCTAAATTTAAAGAGAGAGAGAGAGAGAGAGAGAGAGAGAGAGAGAGAGAGAGAGAGATCGTGTCATAGGCACGCACACAAGGCCGCATCCTTGTCATATCTCGAGGTCATCGTGTATTTCAAAGGTTGTTTTATGCTACTTTCGAAAACGCGAACCGGCATTTTTCTAATATCGTGACAACTACCACCACCACTCAAACCGCAAGACGATTTTGCTTTCGTAGAAGCCACCAGTTAAATCGTCCTCCACCCTTAAATTAGGTCCTGCGCAGAATTAAGAAGTCCCCACGTAATATATCAAGCGACAAGTTGAAATACGAAGCGCGTTCATCGAATGTAGAGCTCATTTATTCTAAGTGAAAAAAAAAACAAGTAAAGCTGAATTTTTCATAGAGCTGAGGGAGAAGCGCACGACGTGTATCGAACTGTTCCGACTATTATGCCGACCATACACGATTGTACGTTAGATAGATGCGTTCGTCACTGCTCTCGGGTACGTGTATTAATAACGAGGTTCGCGCGTTCGCTTCGTTCGAACGAAGCTGCCGAACTGCCGCTGCCAATACGTACATAACGTATTGTCGGAACGATTGCGTTTTACTATTACATTTCGCCTCCTATCCCTAAATCATGTGCCTACAAGCGAATGTCGTGGGACATTTACATGAGAAAAAGGAAGGGCGAGAGAGAGAGAGAGAGAGAGAGAGGGAAATCGTTAGTTTTAAACGTGGCCTACAATGTACAGTAAGAGTATGTTTATGAGAAGTAAAAGTAAGAAATTAACCAATCATAGTGAATTATTCCTTACATTCGAATATGATTGGTCAATTTCTTACTTTCACCTCTTGTGAACATATTCCTACCATCCATTGTAGACGACGCTTTATGAGCGTCTTACGCACGCTGTACATTTATGTAACACTTACAATTCCTACTGAGGAATGCAACGCATATGCACACGAGAGAAGTAAGTCCAAATCTCTCACGAGACATTCTTCGAACATCTCTCGGGCCGTCGTCCCTCGAATCCTTGTATTGCCCGGAGAACGGTTTTATCACGAAGAAAGCCCGACGTGCTCCATGATCATTGATCGTACAATCGATTATTTTCTTATTTTGGTGTCTATTTAAACCGACGTGTATAATATATATATCTTCCTTTTTTTTTTGTTCTCTTATGTCTTAAGTATATCAGGCGTGTGACGCCTCGTGTAATGTTTTCTTTTTTTTTTTTCTCGTTCTGCCTTAGCTTGCAGCCCAAAGCGGTGCGCGCTCGCGTCTTACTGCCTTCGCACGCGGTATTCTTGATCATGGTGCAACGTTTATTGTTCCCACTTGTGCAATGCGAACCAATGTATGTTTCTGTTGTATAGAGCACATTGCTTCCGCTAGTCCCTAAAGTTAAATAAATGCAAATGTATGAAAAAACCAACCGACATCAGTCACTAATTGCCACTTCATCAATCATCAGCCAAGGAATGCGACCGCTATTGTTTTACTCGAACAATCAATGAGCAGTCGTAAAATTAACATTGATAAAATCATGAGAAAAAATGAGTGAAAAGGAAGGCTCCATATCACATTAATTTTGTAAGGCGTAAAATTTAAGAAACTGAACAATCATAATTGATTTTTCTTCTATAATTCAACTGTGATTGATCAATTTCTTAAGGCTTAAAGCATTGTAGACCAGGACTAAAGCGAGGTCTACAATGAGAATTTAAGCCTTAAGCCTTAAGAAGTTGACCAATTACAGTCCACTGTTCTTCTCATCTTCGACTGTGATTGGTCAATTTCTTAAGGCTTAGAACTTAAAACACCTATTGTAAACCGAACTAAGATACAATTCATCAAAGATGCTATTTTATATGTCGTATGACGAGTTTGCCGAATTTGCTAATTGACTGTCAGATAGAAAATTTCTAGGGTCTCTCGGAAAAATGTTAGAGACCCTGAAATTTTCCTATCCGCCAGCCAATCGGGACATTGAGCAGTGCTCGTCATACGACGCATGCAATATCAGCCTGATACAGGCTTATTGGATATCAAATCGCTGAACACGGTATGAATCTTCTATGGGTGCGTTCGGGGAGAAACTATTAGCGCTATAAACGCAAACATTACTAAACTCGTATCAGATTAGGGATTAGAATTGAATTGAATTCGGTCAATCAGTGCAAAGCTAGTTGAACTCCAGCTTAGTGAAATTTAGTGAACTTCGCACTGAATGGTCAAATTTCAATTCAAGCTCGATCTCCAATCCATAGTCTGATATGGGCTTAATGCTGTTCATAGAGCCAAAAGCGCGAAAACGATAGCAAGCTTCACGAACGGCATTATGCACAGACTACGGATTAGGGTTGAAATTTGATTGAAATTTAACCAATCAGAGTAAAGTTCACTAAACTTGACTCAACGTCATGCTGCGTTTGTTAGCATTATCCTCTAGCTTCGCGAACAGCCTTTAGCTCTAAATAGCGCTAATGGCGTCTCCCCGAACGCACTCAATATATGAAGGTCTTAAATAGTGTCGATAGGCTGGTATTCATGAATCTTTCATTTAAGACCGTCCTAAGTTCATCTTCAGATGTTGTACGGCTCATTTCATTAACTATTAAGCATCAAAAGATGAATTTAAGATGGTCTTAAATATAAGGTCTGATTATGAATACCGGCCATAGTGAGCTCTCCGAACGCAGCCATAATACTTCGCTGCTATCATTTTCAAAGCTACAACCGGCGCTTAAATTTGAAAGTTGTGACTTCGCGGAGCGGTCGAAACGACGTCTATCCCGTTGTGATTTATTCTAACTAGAAAAATATCCTCGTAAAGATCGTATATCAGACTATTAGAAATCGGAACTTGATTAATCGAAATAACACGATCCAAGACCGACATTACTGATTTCATCGAATTCCGACTTCTGTCTCGCAATCTTCAATCTCCGATATGTCGTCATCGTCGTTTTTGTTTTTATCGTTGTCATCGTCGTTTTTATCGCCACCGTCATTGTTTTTGCCGTTAACATCGTCGTTTTCGTCTTGGCTGTCATACATTTCCATTCGATTCGCAGGATACCTACCTTGCGCAGAGAGGGCTCTTACGAAGTGATGCGTGATCCCAATGACAAAGGAGCCCGAATCGGCCAGGTGGGATCGCACGTACGGACCGAGCCGAGCTCGAACGCGACAGGCCAGGCCAGAAATCGCCGTCAGGAAGCACGCACGATCTGGGGTAAGGGAGTAGCAACCTCTCTCGTTGGGGCCAGGGCCAGTCACGTGACTCGTATGTGTGTTTACCAAAATGGTGAACGTCCGTGTAACGCTACGAGTGACTCCTCGTCCCGTCGTCGTCCGTTGTGCGGGAGTTGCGGCCGTTCGCGACATTTAAATGTGTAAATAGCGGTACCGATCAGCTGTGCTGCCGCTGCTGGACACCGCCGCACGAGCACGGTGTGACAAGCGTACCACAATACAAGCATCACGAAGCGACGCGTTCCGGGCGAGTCGATCCGCGCGCGCGTCGTCCCCGTTTTTCCTCCGGTGTTCCTCGCGTTACTCGCGGTACGCGCTTTCCACGAGCGAAAGTTGGAAAGTGGACGCACGCAGGCACGAACGAACGAACGTAGAATAGTTGCGAAGCTGGATGCACGTTGCGACGACGCTCAGCGTCTCGTCCCTCGGCCGTGCGATCTCGCGGGTGCGATTCCTCGTGCGAGAGATGCCGCGATCCGACGACATCACCACGGTACGACAATCATCGCCTCCTCGCGCTCGTTCTTAGATTATCTTGCATCGCGATATATCACTCGAATAAATCTCGCAATCGTGTTGTCCGTTCGTCTCACCTTGTCTCGTCGAACTCGGTTCCCTCGTCGGTGTGCTGTTTATACTGTGAACTCACCGTGGTATCTTTGTTTTCTTTTTGCATTGCGCCACCAAGGGAGTGACCCGAGGCTTCCGAAGATCCAACTCCAATAATGCCGTGCGCAAGGTACACCAGGTGTGTATGCGATAGCTTTCTTGGACTTTGTCGGTTATGACAATGCGATGGAATTGAACGTAACTTGATCCTCCTTCTTCCTAACAGTAGTTACAGGTGATCTCTGATATCGATCAGTGCGAATGAGAAGCACTTTGATAAGGGACATCTAAATGCCAGAAGGTGTCCTTGTATAGCGTCTCGAGTGCCACGGCCAGGCATTGTTAAACATGGCCACGTATCAAGTCGACTACCAGTGGTCAGTACGCATCTGTTCACGCATTGTGTCTGTATTTATTTGTTTCCCTTTAGTGTCTAAGGTTGCTGTCATTGTGGCTTGTTACAGGGCTTATTCCATAATGGATTCATCTAGGATATCCACTTTCCTAATATCAATTTTACTGATAGTTTATGGTAGTTTCCGATCTCTAAATATGGAACAAGAAGCGAGGGAAAGGGAGAAGGAGAAGGAACGTAGTAATTTATTGACCGGGATCGCAAGTAATGGCAGCACTGGTAATACGGACGGTGCCAATGGAGGAAGAGTTCAAACTCTGGATACGATGCATGCTCTCTGTCTACCTCTTGGTGCTTCCATTTCTCTACTCGTCATGTTTTTCTTCTTCGACAGTATGCAGATGCTTCTTGCAATTTGTACAGCCAGTAAGTGATAAGTCGGATTTAAGATTGCGTTTATTCACTAGATACTCGATATGGGAAATATGATGCGTTTCTTTTTGATCAGAAACGATTACGATCATGTGTCATTTGTTTGCAGTTATAGCTACAGTTGCATTGGCATTTCTTTTATTGCCTATGTGTCAGTATATCATCAGGCCATGCTCGGATGGCAACAAAATATCCTTCGGTATCTGTGGGAGGTTTACCGGTGCCGAATTACTCTCATTTTCGCTCAGTGTGAGTATCGTGTGCATCTGGGTCTTGACCGGACACTGGCTGTTGATGGATGCGATGGGTATGGGCCTGTGTGTGGCATTTATCGCATTTGTTCGACTACCTAGTCTCAAGGTATCCACATTGTTATTAACCGGACTACTGATTTACGATGTCTTCTGGGTTTTCTTTTCATCTTATATATTCAGCACAAATGTAATGGTTAAGGTGAGTTCTCGTAAATCTTGTATACGCTCGATAAATCTATCGTACGAAACGATCAATTTACACTTTGTGTTATCTTCGAATAAATTTACAACGTCGTTTCCGTATCGCGATGTTTTGTCTCGCGACGATAAATTGTAAGATGCTAATGCAAATTGAAACGCATGATTTATCTGTGTAATACGTACGCCTATAAAAAATCAAAGCAATCTTTATCACGCGTAATTATAATGGTAACATTTGCGATTCGTGTCTGTTATGTTTTGCAGGTAGCGACTAGGCCTGCAGATAATCCAGTGAGTGTCGTAGCTAGAAGGTTACATTTAGGTGGCGTAGCCAGAGCCGCGCCGAAACTACCCTTACCTGGTAAACTGGTATTCCCGTCGATGCATCAGGCAGGACATTTCTCAATGTTGGGTCTGGGCGATGTCGTTATGCCGGGCCTATTGCTCTGTTTTGTCCTGCGTTACGACGCGTATAAGAAGACTCAACTGTTACCTGGTGGTTGTGAAACCGGGGTACCACCGCCACGTCATCTCAGCCGAATTAGTTACTTTCATTGCTCCTTGATCGGTTATTTTCTCGGTCTACTTACCGCCACTGTAAGCTCTGAGGTGTTCAAAGCTGCGCAGCCTGCCTTATTGTACCTTGTACCTTTCACTTTGTTGCCATTACTCACAATGGCATATTTGAAGGTATTTTTGTATTTCTGTTTTTATATACAGAGTGTATCTGACAATTATTAACACTTAAGTGCAGATGAGATGCATCAAATTCAGGAGGGAAATCATCATTTTGCCAATCTTATAATAGTTATTAAGAAATTAATTGAAAACATCAGCGCATGGGAAGCAGTAGAACGAATTCTATAGGCTCAGGCTCAAGGTAGATGTTTCTGATTTTGACAATTTTCTGACAACGACGAACGATGCGTAATGCTGGACGCATTTTGGATGAAATGTTTTCAAACTAACTCGTCTTACCGCGTCCTACACATTCATTTGCTAATACTGATTAATTAATTTCTTAACAAGTACAACGAGATTTGCAAAATGGTACACGATTATTCTACTCAGTTTGATATGATTTATCTGCATACTGCAGCGTCGTTTCATTAATTGGTTTATGTTTTTCATTAATTGTCAGACACCCTGTGCATGTAATAATATCGTGCCAAGTATAATACACAAAACTATATATAAATTTCAGGGAGATTTACGTCGGATGTGGAGTGAACCATTCATATCTCAACAACCTTCGAAACATATGGAAGTTTGACAAGAGTCATGGCTTCCTGTATATTATACTGTATTCGACGCAAAATTCTTACATGAGATTCATCACCATGTAACTTTGCATTCTTATTTTCATCAAGGTCATTTTATGTAAGTAATTTTTTCTACATATACACATCATATACATATAATATATATCCACATTCTTTTTGAAGTCAATATGACATACAGAGAATAATTCAGATCTAAAGATCAATGCAATTTTTTGCGGTGTGAGTGAAAATTGTACCGCATGAATAATTTAAATGTAATATAATGTCACACGAGTGTAATGTTAGCGCTGCAGAGAAACTTTTTACCAGAACGATATAGGAGAAAAAAGGGTTACATTCAACAGAAATAGAACCTTTACAATCGCTGTAAGATTTCCCGTTGAACACAATATCTGGCGGTTTATATTTTTCCAATGCGTTAACTGAGCGGTCGCCATCTTTTTCAGCATATTAAAAGTATGCTTAATAAGCGCAAGTAGCGCAAGTAGCGTAATGGAAACATAACTACTTGTAATCGTCAAAGAGAATGTTCAGCAGAACCTTTCAGCTATTGGAAATGCACCGATGCTAATGTAGCGCTAACTTTTGCTGAACGCAGCCATTGATTCTCTGAAAATATTTCCAGAATGCCAAGTGACACATTATTATCGGCATTCTTTCTGTGTCTTAACTTGATGTTGAGGATATGAATATATATTGTGCAGTAGATAATGCAACTGATAATTATTGTCATTTAAAACAACTATATAACAGCTAAAAACTATGTATCATGTTAATTTAACGAACGACAGTCTTTCACTTCTACTGTAGGATTATCATGATGACAAAAAAAAAAACTGGAAAAGGTTTCCGAAATATTTATCTTTATTCACACAAAATTGAAATTTTACCTTGAAATTCGATCTTGAAATTCAATTATGGATGGAATTGAGATGTTCTTTACAAAATATTATTTTGATTTGTTAATCAGAATCGAATTACTTGTACGTAATATGTATAGCTATGTTTAGGATAATTTATATATAAACTATCGAAACGTATGGATAAGAATCCAATACACATGTGCGTGTTGGTTGTGACTTTATTTTAAAGTTGGTTTAATATTGAACAGAGTAATATAATACTATTACATGTATAAAAAAGCACATATTGATTATCATTTTTATATATTTAAAGGCATAAATTAGCAATTCACGGTAATAAGTAGCACGCCTTTTGATATTATGTTTTATGTTTTTATTGTTTGTTCGTTGATAAAAAACAAAGTCTTTTTCGGAAAAATTATCCAATATTGTTTTCAAAGTGTAAGTAGAATATAATGTGAAAATTGCGTTATCATTGAACGTAATTAACAGTGAGATTTATTTCTAAACGTGAATGTCTAATCAAGCTCCTGCTATGGATAGGCTGTCAGAAAGACTATATGTTTATTTAAGGACAAGACTGAAGATAATATGTATGAAAGCCAATTTATTAGGTAATTTCTGAAAGATAAACGCGTGTGAGATTTTCCATTCTACCTTTCTCTTAGATCCAATTTATAGTATCTCATAGACTAATAATATATAATCTAATATATATATTCTAATATATAATAT